TACTCTATCTAAGCCTGTTCAGTGTCAGCTCGCAACTTTGTAACATACTCGTAGTATATTCCGTTCTACATAATGCAATTGTCGGCGGCGATGCGGTCCGACTTTCCGCACTTTCTTACCTCCCCCTCATTCCTCGCCGTGAGTCAGCGGTCCAGTTAGCCAGCCAAGCGAGCTGGCTCGCGATGCCCGCAGCGGTGTGCAGGTGTCTCTCATATATTGTGATGACTCCGTGGCGCAGTGGCCAAGGTATCGGCTCCGGCGTCAGGCGTCGTGGGTTCGATACCCACACGGGAGAACTATTTCTGTGATCCACAAATAGTTTTTTCGCATCTGGCTGTTTGTCCACGTGAAATTTATGTTTATAAAACGTCCTTACAACACAGGATAATGTTATCCTAAAGTAAGGGCTTTGTTTTTAAAAAAGAAATTGTGGAAGCAACGGTCAGAATTGATCGGTTGCTTGGTGCTCAAGGGTGACCTCACCTACGGAGGCTGGCAACACTACGGGTTTTGGGATTTTAGTAAAGTAAAGGCTCTTATGACCTTCAAAAAGGGAGAGCCCTTTTTGAAGGTCACAGGGTTCGAATGCTACTGGAAGTATAAAGGGAATAGAAGTTATTTTAGGCAACGCTAGGTTTTGTCTAAACCAAACCTTGAGTACAGAACGATTTATGTGGGAATAAAGTTTTTACTGCTACAAGGTGTTAATATCAGGCGGCATTTGCCTGAGTTCGATAATTAAATGTAATTTATCAAGTCATTGACCTGTTAACATATTTTTGTATTTAATGGTAGGTCTAGAGTGGTATTAATTTCTTAGTGATAGTTAATATATTCCATTGTATACAAGTATCTTAAGACTCTCATGTGATCGCGAACTTAATTGAATGGACTAATTTTAGTGGTAATTCCGAACATTACGCGTATTCCTAAATATAAAACACGTTTAAAGGTGTTTCTATATGACATACTAAAGGCACGACGACAGCAAAAGTGTCTATTAGATCTAATCGGCTACTTTGCATGATGTTATAATCTCTGTTTTTTTATCTATTTTCAATTTCTAGTTTTGAGTTTAAATGGTCTCCTTAATTTATCCGTTTATTCTTCATTGCATCTCATTACAGGAAACCAAACGTAACAAGGGTTGTGATTACTCTTTAAACCAAACATAACGGAAGTTGGAGGTAGATACAACAATATAATGAAAATTCTCATAAGTAATACTAATAAGTTATTTACCTATATATCCGTACATATATATATATAAATTTATTTTTGTATCTAATTAAATTACATTTGTGTTGTTTCTTTAGTTTTCGTTGATTAAATACAATTGAGATAGGAGTGCGATAAATACTACTGTGAAAGCTGTGATTACGTGTAATTGAGCTTGTAATTAAATTTATGTGTAACGCGTTACCATCAAATTATTCTTTACTTAATTGTAATACATGTAATTTTATTGGTAATACAAAAAAAGTAAATAAATATCCATAAATGCACACATTTATACAGTTTAAGTTATGCACTCCTATCAGTACAGTCTTTCTGTTATTGGTCACTTCCTTGCAATTGCTGCTATCATTTCACACTGCGACAACGCATCGCTCCCCGGTCGAGACAATCCAATTTAGCTTCGACAACGCTATTTATACACCGTATAGGATGGAGGCACGTTATTGACAGTAGACGGTTTCTTTCTATCCGTGCTACGATTTGACTGGCGTTTGTGAGGGGTTTTGGTTTCCTATAACCACCGCAGCGCAGAAATTCAGTTACAAATAAGAATATAAAAGTGCCGTTTTGACAAATCTCGTTATCTCCCGATTTCAGTTATCCTCTTTAACTTTAACTTTTACCGCTTACAGTTGTTTTTGCTCTGAGTCCGTAAACAATTTTTTTTATGTGAGAAACTGGCAAACCGAGCTGGCGGTTCACCTGATGTTAAGTGATAACCGCCTCCCATGGACATTCGTAACACCCTTAGGATTACAAATGCGTTGCCACCTTTAAACAAAGCCGGCCCCGGCTGCCTCACTCGCCAGACTAAACGCAGAAGTATAACACTTCTACCTTACGCCGGTCTTCTGTGAGAGTACCATTAAAGCTTCATCAAACGCAGAACAGGGCTAATCGGAACTCACGAGCTTAATACTGCTTAACCCACGCGTGGGCTCGTTCTTGCCTTATCAATGGGTTTAGTTTTTTTCTGTGGTAAATTAAGCTTGCATAACGGCTTTTGTTCGAACAGCAACACAACGGGCGTCGGTTGTCGGAAATCAGTTATCAGGTGTACCGCGTCCTCGTATTGTACCACCTTATCCTAAGGGAGAATAGGCTTTGCCTCAGTTTTTTTTAAATTACTGTTTACCATTTGTGTGCGAAGTACGGCGGCGGATTCGTTGCGCATCACGTTTTGAAAGTGTAGAAGTGTGAGTAGACTAAATTTGTCTAAGAGTAGTATGTACTGTAAGTAGTATATGTACAGTAAAAGTGTGTTCTGTACTAAAGGTAGTATGAAGACAATATCCGTAAACAAAATACTTGTATCCCCTGATGGTGTAAGTCATAGTGGAATAAGAGTGTTTTGATTTTTATGTGTATTTCAACCTGTTTTGTTCGTCACTTTGAACATACCAGTATGAGTCCGTTCTCGGAAATTATCAATTATTACTACGATTCATTCGATATCATTGCAAATCGTATATAGATCTTTTTTTGATATATTCAAAGTTGCATATAAAACTCGTGCATTTTCATACTAACCGCTTAGATATTCTTGAATGCTGACTCATCTCTGTTAGTCTGATAACGGTTTGCGGATAAAATATGTTCGAAAAAGCAATAAAATGCTTCGCCACGATCTCGAGCGACCCAATTCTGAGCCTCGAGTTTATTAGCGATTCGCGTTGGTAATGTGGCCGACATTACCAACGCGAATCGCTTAATAAACTTAATAGATAATGTTTATGCATGGGATACTCGCAGTCCTTAGTAGTTGCGACGCTGATTTCAAATAGACACAAAATAGTTATAATACGTAAAATGAGTTATAACTTGTATTATGAATAAAAAGGGTATCTGCTACTTTCTCGTGACACAATTTAGCACACTGCGCTTTTAAACAATATTTCGTATTTAAACGTTCCGTTTTCAAAACATATTTCTTAATTTTTAATAATCCGAAGTTTCTCTTCGCTGGCAATTTCAACGGAATAAGTTTTCCGCTTTTACACGGTCTTGCGAAGTTTGATCGCCAATTTGCATGTCTTTGATGCGAGATATTGGAGAAGATCGTCCGATTTTTCGTTCCGCGCGTGGTGTTAGTCTCATTTCTCTTTGACAGAGGGTAAGACACGTCTAGAATTTCCCAAAGGAACGCTCGGCGCATTTCAACGGATCAAAGGAGTGCACCTTTATACGGTTATATATAACAGCGCGGAAATATTGCAATCTCAATGTGAAGTTAATTATCTTTTATTCCATTTAAAATACTCTTACTAATTGGTTTCTTTGAGAACGTATCGGTGACATAGGATGCAGGATTGTGTCTCGTTATGGGATGAACGAAAAACAGCTTTTTCTTCCGTACTTCTTAAGGGGGTAATTAGCAATTAAGGTTAACGCATACAACTGCAAGTCATACCACATACGATCGTCTTACCGATTGCTTTTATGAAGGTTTATTAAAAAAGATGCTCACAAGGAAAATTATTACAAAAAACTACAAGGACATGGTGCATACCCATTCCCTTTCACATCTTTACCCGGTTTCCTATCCGTTTCCGCATACGATATACATGTATCAACATGTATTAAGTCTGAAAGTGAAATTTTTAATCTCCAATCACAAAAGAAAAACAATTTATTCACGGGAAAAAAGTTTCTTAGATTTAATTATGTTCGTGTGATGTTTGTTCTTAAACTTTGTTCTTTATTTATGTACATTAAAATGTCTAGACACATGATAATACTGCTACTTGCTACTTCGTAAAATATGTCATGGGCTAACTTTGATTGGCTTCTTGCTCCCACTTCTAATTTGGGTCATTAGTCGTTCTTCTGCTGTTTCGCTTTTAGCTTTTGTTAACACACATCGATGGGGCCGGTTCAAATAAACCCAATAAGTTTATTTACCACGTCCTGATTACAAACTCCTTGGATGTTTGTGTCAGCATGCCAGGCACAGCGCAGTTGGTCCGCCCTGTCGAAACAAACAGATCCTCGAGCACTGTCAAACAACGATGCAAAGGGATCAACGACACAGGAGCCACGTTGCGTAGGAGTCGATCTATTTTAGCCCACTTTCGATCTCCTGGTCTCTTTCTCGCACGGTGTATTCTTGTATCTCTATCGCTCTGTATTGTGCAATAATTGGCAGGCCGAGTGTTTTTCCCGCGCGCCAAAAATCACACGTGGATGACCGGAATTGCTATTTCTGTTTACGCCAGTGCCCTCATCACTTGCGTTTTCGTTTTGATATAATATTTGTTTATTTCACTCGTGTTTGTTGTGGTTGTAGTGTTTATTTTATTTATAATTAATTTTGTTCATATACCTATGATCGTATGTTATAGTTCGAAATGGATATGAAAGTTGTATAAATGACTATTTGTAAGAAAGAAAGAAAGAAATATTTATTCGGCCCATTACATTATAGAAAAAAAAAGAAATAACATTTAGGTCTATTGTTCTCGTTTTAAAATGTATTTGATCTCGATTCGAGTTTTCATTAATTGCGTAGGATCATTGGGATGTTATAACGATGAAATGGGATTGAATTAATGTTTTTGTGAATGTTATTTTTTTTTGTCGCTTTAATGTTATTCTAATTGCATGGTGTTTTAGCAGCAGTAATTAAGCATAGTATTATATAGAGATCGTCGCCAGTATTTTTGTATGAACATTTTAGACGTAATAGTCATCTGTAAAGACATAGTGTTTTAAAACGTGTTCGTGTGAAATGTATTACTAGCTAGAAGACTAGCGAACATATAATGTCGAAGACCTTGAACGCTTATAGAATGTGAGTATGATTTTTACCTATACATCATCGTTTTTATATGATTTATTGCTTTTTATGTTACGTCGTAACTTTTTTGTGAAAAGATTGCAAGAGGGCAAAGCAGGGGTCGTCTTGATGATAAGTGATTACCACCGCCTATTTACATCCTCTACGCCCGTAGGGTTGCAGATGCATCGCCCCCTTTAAAAGAAACGGCCCCGGTTATGTCACTCACAAGAGGAAACATCAAAGTATAATAATTCTGCTTTGAAGCCTGCCTTCTGTGAGGCCGTGGTACTTACCCGGACGATTCTGTCGGTGCTACAGCAGAATTTCTTCGCGACCTCACTATATAAGCAAAGTTTTGGTTTGTAAATTAAGTTGGTTCGCCTAAGTATTTTGATAAGACTTAATTTAAGGTGTGTGGTACGGCCACCCAGCAGTTTTCACCGTTGCACGAATGGGCGGGTTCGTCCAGGGAAGTACCACGACCTCACAGAAGGCCGGCGTGATTTGGAAGTATTATACGTCTGGTAAGTGAGACTACTGGAGCCCACTTAATTAAAAGGTGTTGCATATGTCCATGGGCGGTGGTTATCACATAAAATGTGGTGAACCGCCAGATCGTTTGCCAACTTTTCACTTTAAAAAGAAATGCACGTAGCAACTATTTTTAAATGTCTGTTGATATGTCTTGTTTATTTCAGTGTCTATGCATTCAACTGTTTTGAAGTCATTTAGCAATAATCTACTTTTATATTTTATAACCTAAACTATAAACTTGAGAGTTGTGATGTTTGAAGCAATGCGGTGTTGCTTGGAATTCAATACGAATTTTCTTAAATTATTATATCTATGCGTTTTACGTTTTCCACGGGCAGACAAACATCGTCCTTGTATTCAAGGACTCGCCTTGACCTTTAAACGATCGACCTTGTCTGAGCATCAAAGGATCAAAAGGATACTAGAGGGAAGCTTTGAAATAACTGCCTGCCTTTTCCAGTCATTACTTTTTTCTTTTCTTTACATTTACATGATTATTACGCTAACGTTACTTATATTTCACTGCTGATTACCAATTTTTTTTTTTTGGAAAAGTGCTATATCGGCAGTTTATACTTTAAGATTATATTTGATAGAAGACGAGTAAAATAGATAATAGTCAATTGTTATTTAACAGCTCTATCGAGCAATGAGACCAACACTATTTGGTCTCCGCATATACATGTTCAAAAAGTAAGATATGTGGTAATAATGCATGAGATTAGTAAGAATGCATGACGTTCCAAGTATTCCTAGAACAATACTCTTTTATTCGCACGAGTGGTCGAGATTATTCTGTTGAAAGTGTAGTAGTTTTTCTAACCACGAGGCGTCGTCCCTTGGTTCCTGTGATCATTTTCCGTGGGAAATTCTGTAATTAATCATATAAACTTATTTCTTTTAGCTCCATACAAATAACTTCGCCTAATCGATGCTTGTCAATAGATGGTTAATAGAGATGATACGAAACCTGTGCATTAATATGCTTATAAGAGCATTGTACCTTTTTTAATAATATTAAACCGTTTATATATTTAATTTTCATAAACTATACCAGTCGATATCATAAAAAGTAATAAAAATGACATCTCGATAAAGATAATAAAATGGATTTGCCAATAAAAATACTCTCAAAACGGCATCCAGACGACAAAGAAAGGTGCGGGCACTGACTCGTTAAATAAATCCAGATACGTTCTAAAATGATACAAGGACAGTGATAGCTCAGTGTCCGGATGCTCGCCTTTAATTCAATATACTCGAGCAACCTGAGTTCGATCCCCGGTGCCGGCACCAATGAAGTTTTTAACTTTAAGTGCTGTCTTATCACGTGCTCCGCGATGAAGGAAAACATCGTGAGGAAACCTGCATATTTTCGAAATAATAACAAAAAAATGTATATTTCGAAAATATGTGAAGTCCGCCAATCCGCAGTGGGGCCGCGTTGTGAACTATGCCCTGATACCCTCTGTATAGAGGAGGCCTTTGCCCAGCAGTGGGACATGTGGGGCTGTTACTTTACGTTCTAAAATTTTTTCGTTGTGCATCTGCGAAGCGGGGCTTTGAGCCATCTCCTTTTTCGTTTTTTTTCTCTTCTTATTATTTTTAAATTGAAACTGGCCGAAAGAAAAATCGTCGATGATCGAATTTACCCGTTCCATTGGATCTCCGGCCAGGCGCGTAACGGCCGCTGATCCCGTTTGCGAATCGGAAATTTATGCTCCGCCGAGCTCTTATCGCGGGCCCTCCGCGTCTAGACGCATCGATTAGGGCCGGTTTTATGGTCTGTGCGGTGTGCCGGCGGTAATTGTGTTAGGCACCGGCCTGGTGTCGTTTACGTTGGACGGTCTGCGGACGCAAACATACAGCCTATGCCGTGGTGTAGGCGTAGGCTCTATGTATGCACGCGTTCGGCTTGAGGGGGTTAATTGCCGCGCACACGTCCTGGAATCGTGGATCTATGCGGCGCGTGTTTGAATAAATGTTTTAGGTCGGGGAAGTATCACGGTAAATGACATTGAATGCCGAATATTTTTTTTAATTCAAAATACTCGAGCAACCCGAGTTAAATCCCGGTGCCAGCACCAATGGAATTGTCAGTTTTAAGTGATGAATTATCACACGCTTGGCGGTGAACGAACGCATGATGAAAAATCTGCATATTTTCGTAAAAATATTTCGTAGATATGTGAAGTCCGCCAATCTGCAGTGGGATTGCGTGGTAGTCCGTCGCACTATTTATTATTACAAATTGCTTTTATATTTTTTTTTAAACGTTCTCGAATCTAAGCTTGAAATGTATGCCAGGCGTGTGCCACGGGCCTAATAAAATACTTTTCGGCTGAGGGGTCTGAAATTTTATTATGTTTGCCCTGCCTCGATAGGCAGAAATCTCTAATGAGTTTGCTATATGTAGAGAATTGTTCGGCGTATATGTAGATTAGTAATTTAGGGCGTTATTCCGGCTATTTAGTATACACTGACCTTATTTGATTAGTTTTAAATGATATTAATTTATATATTATTAATAATTTACCGTCTTTATCGGAACTTATTAAAATTTTGACATTAGCGCTGTTGTTAAAAGTTGTAATAGTACATGTCTTGAAATTTGTATGTCGATCATGATTACGCAGAAGTTTTTATGTAAGGTAATAATACACGGGAACATGAGGATAACCTGTAATTTTTTAAAATGTTATGTAAACTTGATTTAAGTGTAATTACGTCAATTTTTAATTATTCACTTTACCAAATTGATTGTACAAAGCGTCTCTCTATAAATACCATGCGTCGAGTTTAAATCAAGGTTCAAATAAAGGTCAATGGAGTCACCGCTTGAAGGTTAACTTTACGCCCCGGGAAAAATGATTGTTGTTTTAAAAGCAATATCAAGGGAGGAATATAAATATTGGATTATTTTTTGTAAGAGGTCGGCATGTTTGTCATATTGAGATTAAAATGAATTTCTAAAGTTCACATATAATTGCAAACGTAATTGTAAATTATACTATTTATGCAGAAAGTATGTCCCGTGACTTTAGTGTTCCACGTTTGTTTGAGTATTTAATGACTAATCATATATGACAAAATCCGATAAATTACTTTAATTACTAACCTATAGGGAAGTTTACTTCCGCAAAGAACAATGCCCACTTCCCATACATTTAAAAACCTGATAATGAAAGTGTATGTATAGTTACAAGGTATAGCAGAAAGACTACCTTTAAGTTAGTAAATTAATATCATATAGTCATTTTTACGATTGCTGGTCTACGAAGTCCAAAAATTATTAAAAAATGTTCCTTTTTAGGTTAAGATTTACAGTTACCTAATAAAACGAAATAAATGTGCTAGAACTAACTATTTACGCTCAAGTTTACTCTAAAATAATAATATTAGCCTATCTAAGGTCTAAAACGTCTTTTTTACTTGTGAATTCCTAGAAACCGACTGCCCTTACGTCACTGCTTAGACTCGATTATTGTCACTATAAATTGAGTGAAGAGCATTATCCGCTATTTCAACAGCTCACATAAGTACTTACTTAAAAAACTTAAGTTAAAAGTGATCATTTATCTGCCCTACACATTTTATTGGCCTGCACTACAATACATAATAATCGATAATTATAATACCTGATGAATAAAACGAGGGAAAAAAAATAAAACACTATGTTACAGTGGAATGCTTTATTAATTATCATCATCTTCACTTAAATGTCTTATAACTATGGTATCCAGAAATTCTGCTATAACAGAGATATTTTCTTGATAGTTCATCCAAAGTACCACACTAGTCATAACATGAGTGCAACATCCTATGGTTCGACTAACTAAACAATTACAACAGTATTCGACTATACTAGCTCTGCCAGACACATTATTTTCTATTAAAATGTAGACATAATATAAACAATATTATATTATATATTAAACATAATATAAACAATATTATCATTTCTTTAAATGTGCCAGGACTTAATTTTTCCTCTTATTAGTGTTATGTCACCACTTCCACTCAGATTATTCCTAGAAAACTCCCGTATATCTACATATTTCTATTCTATATGATCCATGAAAGCGAATATGTTCGCCATAATAGGATTTGGCTTGCCTTATTTGGTACCTAACGCAAATAATATAAGTTCACTAATAACTTAATCTCAGAAACATAAAAAATAAATTATCTTCAGTAGTAGAAACACCACAAACTTCAGCAACATGCCTAATATGTCTGGCAGCACTCTTACAACTCATCCAGCATGAATGGCATATTCTATCAGATGATGATATCTACAAAAGAAGTAATAAAGCAATAATTATTATTCATCTTAAAAATATATTTAAAAAAATCGATTATTTATTATTTGTGGTTAAAGTTATTAAAGCATCAGTCAATTAATAACAGATATAATAATTTACATCTAAAATACAAAAGAGAAATAATCTAGAGTAATAGTATCAAGTTTTATACTG